CGTATTAAATAAATTACTTAGCATGAAAAGGATGAAACCGGCTTCGAATGTATCTTCGTCAGAAACACATGTATTGTTCAAAATCCGGTCAAATACATCTCTTGTATTGTGAAGATATTTATTTTCATTCATATCTTCTCTTTTTTTCTTTCTTACATTTGTCGCAGTACGAATGAGGTTCGTGATATTGTGTTAAATACGGTTCATGGTATTTTAATAAATGCGGCTCATGGTATTCTGTCAAATACGCTTCATGATATTGTATTGTTAATTAGTGTCATTACTGTTGTTGTTGTAATTCTTATTAGTGTAGTCTACTTTTTCATTATTCTTTGTATCATTATTTCCATAATCATTTACCTTTCGTTTTTTTTTTATTCCTTTTTTTTCTTGTTTTGAGCAATTTGAAACGTATCGAAAAAAATGAAAAACGTTGACAAAGACATGCTCAGATCTATTAAGGTATCTTTTTATAGATAGATAGATAGATAGACAGATAGATGGACTTGGTCGTTAGGCAGATGAAATTAGAATAATAGAAATAGAAATATGGATAACAATAATTAAAAGGCGAATTGATAGATAAATGAAACGGCTATTAGATTGGTAGATTAATAGATATACAGGTGGACAAATAGACGAAAATAATTGATGAAATGAAATAAATTGGACGAACAGGTTGTAAATTATTTATGCTTTTTTTTTTTATTAGTCTAATTATGTAATAAATTAAAATGATTACGTAATTACACAATTAATATTATTTGATAGCTAATGATTACGTAATAAATCATTATTCAAATATCTCAGGGGAAACGAACCGAAAATAAACAAAACAAAAAAAGAAAAAAAGATTCACAATTACACTAACATAACTGTCTTATTTAACCAATCATTTTACAATTTAACCAATCATCGTTGCGAATGAGTTAGATAATGGTAGGTATGACTAAAGTAGATTTTAATTTTCTTGTTTGCGTGATGGCGGGCTCAAGGGAGGCTGAGTGTAAAAAAAGAACGAGGTGTATTTTGTGTTAAAAAGGCGTGTTTATTGGTGCTGCTGTTGTTAATGTTATTTTTATTGTTATGATTGGTTTATTATGGCTGGCTTTATTAATAATGATAATTTTGTCATTAATACTGCCATCAGCATCTTCATTGTCACTATCATTATTATTTGTATTTGTGTTAGTATTAGTAGTATTGATTTTGTTATAATTATTGTTGTTGTTATTTGTTTATGGTTGTTATCATTGTCATCATCTTTACTCTCGTTAATTTTTCATTATTATTGTTATTATTAATATTATTATTGTATTTGTTGTTGTTTTTTAGTTATTGTTATTTTCATTATCATTATTATCATCGTCCTCAGTGTTGTTATCATCTTGAAATTATATAAAACGATATTAATATGCAAAAGAAAATAATACAAAGGAAAAAAATACGCCTGAGTAAAGGCATTCTTGGTGAAAATAAGCTGCGGGTCGGTCGTTTTTTATATTTTTTTCCATAAAATAGAATACATTATGAAAACCAACCAACCAACAAACTTACAAACAAACAAACAAAAAACGCTAAAATAAAATATAAATTACATGCGGGTCGGTCGCTTTTAATATCTTGTCTCTCTCTCTCTCTCTCTCTCTCTCTCTCTCTCTCTCTATATATATATATATATATATATATATATATATATATATATATATATATATATACACACACAAACATACGTACACATGATGAAAACCAACGTAATGAAAAAGGAAAAAATGCCAAAATAAAGATCTCTCGTTGGTGAGAATAATAACCTGCGGGTGGGTCGCTTCTACACCGTTGGCGTCGCTAGAGAGAGGTTCGGAATGAATAGATCTCTTTGCCAAATGGAATTCAGTTGCCGTGGGAAATGGATTACTGTATCGGTGTTACTGAATTCCAAATATTGCTGCGCATATTTTTTTTTTTATTATTGTTATTATTGGTTGTAGTATTGTTGTTGTTTGATATTTTTTGTTGTTGTGGTTTTCACATAAAAAAAAAATACCGCTGGTATTATGATGGTCATCATTATTATTGCATTTCTACTATTTTTACTACATCATTATCATCATTATCACCATCACCACGACCACTATCATCATCACCATCATTATCGTCATTACCATAATCACCAATATCTCCACTATAATCATCATTATCATCCATGTCACGATCACCATTCTTATCATTATCATCAACATCAACTTAACAACATCATCCTTATCATCCGGTTGATTACAAGGCATTCAATTATTCGTGAAAATAAAAATAACAGCAATAACAACAATAATAATTCCTAAAACAGGGCCTTGTCGTTGATATGACTAGTAATAGTTCATCATGATTGCAGCGATAATAGTAATGATAAAATACATGCAATAGAGATGATGATAATAATGATGTAATATTAATAACGTAAATATTCATACGATAACACGAAAACTGATACTAGTCTGTTATCAATAGTGCTAGTGAAACAACGGTAGTTATTGATGATAACATAGCAGTCAAATGTTATTAATGATATAGCAATTATGAAAATGATGATTCAAAAACAATGATGACAATAAATAAAAAACTAAAATAAATTAGAAATGATGAAAATAAGGAGAGCATCAGAGTGATATGATATTAATGAAGACGCACTAATAAGGAGGGAGAGAGGGAGAGCGAAAGGGAAGAGGAGGGAGAGAGGGAGGGAAGGAGGGAGGGAGGGAGAGAGAGAGAGAGAGAGAGAGAGAGAGAGAGAGAGAGAGAGAGAGAGAGAGAGAGAGAGAGAGAGAGAGAGAGAGAGAGAGAGAGAGACAGAGAGAGAGAGAGAGAGAGAGAGGCAGAGAGAGAGAGAGAGAGAGAGAGAGAGAGAGAGAGAGAGAGAGAGACAGACAGACAGACAGAAATGATAACATGATGAATATCACGATTATATGATAACTATTATGATAATGATACAGCATGAAAAATGACTCAGTATGTAATGACTATGAAAATGACACAATATTATCGATAAAGTTAATGATAAGGATATTAATGGCACATTTTCGCCGCATGACCAATATCACGCATGACCAAGTCTCTCTCAGCGAAGGTTATCATGCGGGCGACAGGCGACTTTTTTTTTTCTTTCTTTCTTTCTTTTTTCTTTTTTCTTACACCGTGATTGGCTCCTTTCCTTACGAAGCTCTGGTGACGGAGAGCAAATTAGGTGTTTTTAACTTGTTTTATATTTTATCTTTTATCATTTTTTTTCCTCACTTTTATTATGCATGTACACGTGTATATGCTATATCTGCATGTGTATCTATCTACTTATCAGTATACATACATACACATACACAAACACACATACACACATACACCCTACACGCACTTGTTATACCGCCTTTTATTTTATTTATCCATATATTATTCTTTGTTTATTATTTATTTATCTATTTTTTTCCTTTCTTTTCTTTTTTTTTCCTCGGAGCTTAATTTGCCCGCCACGTGTCCCTCCTCCGCGGCTGGATTTGGGCGGCCGCGGCCAGTCTCTCATTCCTGGGGCTGTTTGCATTTCCATCTTTTTTTTCTCGTTTTTTTCCTTTTTTCGTTTTTTCGTTTTTCCATTCTATTTTCTGTTTTTCTTTTTCATTTTTTTCTTTTTGTTTTGTTTTTCCTTTTCGTTCTTTTTTCTTTCTTTTCTTTTCTCTTTCTTTTCTTTCTTTCCTTTTGTTCCTGTTCTTTCTTTTTCTTTTACCTTTCTTTTTTCTTTCTTTTTCCTTTCTTTCCTTTTGTCTTTTTTCTTTCTTTTTCTGTTTTCTTTTTTGATACTCATTTCGTTTTTCTTTCTTTTTATCCATTTCGCTTGTTTTTCTCTTTTCTTTCTCTTTTCCTTTTTTGTGTTTTTGGCAATGGCTTTCGCCTATTTTGTTGTTGTTGTTTATTGTTGTTCCGTGGACGATGATGATGATAAAGACATTAATATTGTAATTAAGTAATTAATTATATTATATTATTACAATAATTATTTATTAATTGGCTATTGATTAATTGATTAATTAATAATGAATCATTAATGAATTTATTATAATAATAATATCAATGATAATTATAGTGCTAATAATAATAATGATAATAATAATGATAATTATAGTAATGATAATGATCATAATAATGATGATATTAATGAGAATAATATTGATAATATAATGATAATAATATTAAGAATAATGATAGTAATGGTGATAAAAATAACAATAATGATGATAATAATGATGATGATAATAAGAATGATAATTATATTAATAGTACAATAATGTTAACAAAGATAACAATAACAAAAAAACAACATATTCAGCCAAACGAAATTTCCAGCCTGAATCCCTCGCCCCACCTACTACTTAATGATGATAATAATAACAATGATAATGATATTGACAGTATAATAATGATCATAATGATAACAATAGCAAAAAAAAAAAAAACATATTCAGCCAAACGAAATTTCTGGACTGAATCCCTCGCCCCACCTACTTAACTAACAAGCCAAACCTCCTGGATATTCATATGATTTAATTCGGTCTTTCTCTCTTTTCTCCCTCCCTCTCCCTCTACCTCTCCCTCTCTCTCTCCCTCTCTCTTTTTTTCAGCTTCGGAACTAGAAGGTAATAATGGAGTGTCATTTGCATACACTTCCACCATTTCAAGCTGAGGTGGCACTCGATGGCACTGGCGAACGAGAGGGCCGTGGACGACCGTAAATATGTGCAAATTGACGACGAGGGAAAGACCCACGACTTGGTACGACCTAGCAACGACCTCCTTGGAGAGAGAGAGAAAAAAGGAAAAAAAAAAACAGAAAAGAAAAGAGATTTAGTGAAATGGAAAAAAAAAAATGTGAACGTTGGAAAAAGAACAACAACTTTGGTTTGGAAAAAAATGTTCGTTTTTTGGTGATAGTTATATATGTATAGATGTTATTGTTA